GACATGCAATGTAGAAATTTGTTCCTTGTTACTTTACTTTTTCCTATATATGTAGAGATAGGCTTTAGTCTCTATGATTTAGAACATTAAAAAAAATATTAGTAAAAAACTAATTATTACATTGTGTGTTCTCCTTCATATCAAACAACCTTTATGTGAAGCATTCTTTTCCATATAACAAACGGTTTACAAGTAATTTTAAGTTACATACGATGTTAAATAACTCTCTTATTAAGGAAATTTTTCAAATATTTTTTAATTTCCTTAGTTTCATTTATAATATATTTATTTATTTACATCCTCATTACATCCAGCTATTTCCATGAACGTTTTATGGTGCTCTATTCACATTCGAGGTTTGTTTATTTGTATTTTCATTTGTCTACTTCACTTTTAATGCTTTTATCTCCTTATTTAGCTCTTCATTAATTCATAATAATTACGTTTTTAATATTCTGATTTGCATTGCAGGTTTCTTTACGTGCTTATGTGCGTTTCCATGGATTTATTTCTGTGTGACACGAGATCCAGAAACTAAACACATTATGGGATATTTATTTCACAATTCGACCAAGTGTTTCAACTTTGTTGCCAAATCTTCTGTTGTCAAATCTTTTGACTGGTTTCTACAGCCTTCCAAATAACGTGTCTATGAAGCGAATGGACGTTTACGTATCTTTCGAAGGTTTCACATGAATTATTTCAGAGCTTAGTAGAAGCAGCGAATGTCATGGATTAAGTTGCAAAGTAGTTATCGTGGATGCGTGTTGCATGTGGATGTTATAGTCATTTTGTTTAAAGCTGCCGTATAACCCGGCGACGCGTCGTAACCGCCTAACTACCTGAACAAACTCTGAATAATTAATCTACCTACTAGTTCTGCGTGCAACGCCAGATGTCAGGCCGGAGTTCTTAACACTTAGGGATTCCGTGTTTGGTATTTCGTTTTGCTAATGTGTAGCATAGCAAGGAGGAAATACTTTTTGTCTGTGTATTTAGAGTCTTGCATAAAGCCTGTTATTATTTTAAAAATCACACAATCAATTAATAACACATCAATTTGTTATGCTGGATTATTTTTAAATTTCAATGAAAAATTCTTCAGTGTGAAAAGAATAGGATTTGTAAGACTATGAAAGGGAAATGTATGTATCTTATGTCAATAGATTTCCATTAAAAAATCATTATATTGATCCCTAAAGTGGTAAGGAAATCATTAATAAGATTAAAGGAAAGAAATATATTTGAAACATTTGTTTTTGATTAAACCACTGATAAACTATACTCAAAGAAAAAGAGAAAAAATTCACAAAACAGTGAAACCGTGCAATAACATATCTACCATCAAATTTCTGTTAAAAAGTAGTAAGACTTGTAAAATAACCAAAATGTAATTCATTCACTAACATAGATCTTTACCTTTTTCAAAAATTCTCTGTATTTATTTTCCAAACAAAAACGAATTTACAAAGCATCGGAAACGGAACATATTTGTTTCCAATAAACCCCTACCAAAATATTTTGCCTTTTCAAAAAATTCTCTGTGTTTACTTTCAAAATAAAAGTAAAAAAATTCGCGAGGCTTCAAAAACATGTCCGTTACCAACAAACCCCTATGAAAGGCCTTTACCGTTTCGAGAGACCATCGCTAGGGAATAAAATATGTACATACACAGTCCCAGCATCCGAAATAAAACACCACTCGCATAGGGACGTGCCGATCATTGTCAGAACCCAGTTGCGATCGGTTATTCCCGACAACCAGACGAACCGGTCCGAAACTTTTTCCCCTTGGTCCCGATAAACTTTTCCTCTTGCACACCTTTCCGGCGTCCTTTCTCTGAATCCGTTTTCCCAATCGGGCCAACAAACCCTCGTGCTTCCCGCTCGTTATCCTGCGCGTGAAAATTACGTCACATTGATCGGTACCGCGTTTCGCGAAACAAAGACCGTGTTTAAAACACCATTGCGAGGGTACAAACTTTCTGACAAAATGATTCCGTGACTAGTTCTACTGAAATCCAATCGAAATCAAAAAATAAGAAAAAAATTTATGAAAAATGTCAGAGCACGACGGAAAACGAAGGATGGAGAGAGACAAAACTATCGAAAGCGAAGTTTAGACAGACACAAAACCAACGGAAACGGAAAAATAAAAAAAAAGTTTCGAAAAACCTGAACGATGAGAGACGATGGATGGAGAGAGACAGAGTTATCGAAAGGCGAGGGTTAGACAGAGATATAACGAACAAAGGATGAAGGTTCGCTCGGTTCGATAATAATGCATCGAGTGCATTGGCCAGTGACCAGCGTCACGACAGGTGCATGATTGACCGTTTTGTGCCTCTCCACGACGCGGGTACACCGCGTGTCCCAACGTTTATCGTTTTCTGCATACGACGCGTTCGATCGTTCCGCGAGCAGCGCCGCGTATTTAAGCGTTCGTCACGGAAAATGATTAATGGCCAGAGGGGGAATGAGTCATGTGTTTCGGGGACGTGTCGAAAGTCCTCTTGCATAATGCATGCACTCGCATCGGTCTTATTGATTGTCGCGAAATTTTCATCTGCGCCAAAGGCGAAAATTGCGGTTGATTTTACGATGCACGGGTGTACCGATGATCGACGCCGTAGCCGTTCAGCGAATTTCGTGTTCCGGGCGAAAATCATGATGATCCGATGAGGTCGCAGTGTGTGTGGATTATTATGTGGGAATGTTGGTTATGTCACGAAAGTCGATACACTGCATAGATGTCATCCTTGAAGGCTTAATAATACAGTGGAATGCCAGTTTCTAAAATCAAACATGATTTATAGCCACGCGATATTTCTTTTTACCAAGACAGAATGCTTCGAACTCGAAAAACACTGAAAATCCTAGAATGCGCTATCATTTTGTCGCGTACCGTAATGGCTTCCCTCTGACAGGAAAGTATCAATCATGGTGGTTTATTTACATCGAGATATTTCATAGAGTCCAACATCATTGGCTATTGACGATCTCTGTATTAACCTAAACGATTTAGAGACATTTACAATTATTTACACTTTTATAATATAATATAAATTAAAACAAGTTTGAATTAAAATCAGTTTTCTTACGAAATCAAAATTGAAAATCATTTAATATTCAAAAACTATTAACGAGTATAAATTTACGAAATTGACAGCAAATCCCCATAAGCTGCAGCGAAGCGTAGCGTCCCAAGAATACTTGATTTGAGAACTACGTGATTCGCCTGTTTGGCCTTTCGGCCATTGCGTGTAGCAATTTGAACAAGCACGCCTTCTCCTTTGTATTCTGAACGGTCCATAAAGCCCAGCATCGATAACACCGCGGTCCGAAACGGTCCTATATATGCCCAGCCGGAACCGAACCGAGTACTAGTTTGTTCTTCCCTGATGTAATTCCCCTAGTGTACCAGATAACGGCTGAGAAAAATGGAATTCGCCGACAGTGCCTTCTGCCTGATACCTCCCCTTACTCCGCCGCAAGGACAGTCACGCAGGGATTCGAGAACGAAGTGACGAAACGGAATTTCACGACCAGCCCGGAAACAGGTCGATCACGTTGGCAAAGGAAACGATCCAACGCTCATACGCTCTGGAAGAGACTGTGTCTACTGCGAAGATTCGCGTTTCTCGAGCGTCCGTTGAACCCTTTAATACATCAACGTCCGTCAAACGCGAAGAAGCGGAAGAGTTGTCCGCCTTGGCTCGGCATCCTGCGAAACCGGAGGTCCTCGACCATCAATGTAGACGAGGCTTACATAGTGCGCGCGAAAACCGGTGATTCGCACGTCCCTCGAATGAACGAATCGCGCGAGTCCCCGGCTTCTTATTCCACGGTGGTCCTCGCACGGAATCCCGAGTTCAATGCCTCTTTGATGAGCACTCCCTTCCCCTTCAGCGCACAAGCATCGACTCGCGCCCATCATCGCGGACAGTCCACCTTTACCCCCACCCCAAACATCTCCACGCGATCCATCTTATCCCATCGACGAATCTACCCGATCAAGAGCTGTCGATTCGTGTCGAAACGTTCGGATGCCCGATGATCGTTCGTGTCCAGTCGGTAGATATCGGGCGATAGACTGCGACATGTGAGAATGACGAGTATACGAAAGCGTCAGTGAGCGAACCGTTGATTCCTTTCTTTCATTTTCTGTCTTTTCGTTTCCCATGTTTTATTCGTCTCCTTATACTTGTTCTTCTTATTCCTCTTGATGGAGACTCACGCGTGCTCATAGGTGAAACTGCGTCGAATAACTTCCCGTTGATAATCATCGTGAGAGAAGGTGGGGCAAATTTATGTGCGTCGGCTCGAACTGGCTGCGTGCAGGTGGAAAATCAGCGAGCCTCGACGATAGCGTGCATTATATAACACCCTAGCTATTTTCAAGTGTCGAAGAAATTTATGCGGAAACTATTTTTGTCACCCCGATGCTGAATGGCGATCGTCTATCGTATTGTGCTTTTTGGGCTTTCGTTGTTGCTATTTTCACAGGGTATCGGAATATACGGAAATGACAGTAGTTAGAGCCGTTAAATTGGTTAAAATGGCCGGTCTTAAATTTGCTGCCTTTTTAAGGTTATGTAAACTATGCGGCTGATTTTGGTAAAATTAATGTTGACACTTATTGAAATAGGAAGGTAATTATCCATATTTATATATTTTCGTTATATCACTTTGATTATTATTGTCTATGTATGTTATGTTTAATTAAATATCACAACACAATAGTTTTGGCACTGAAGTAAATTGGAGGGAATTCATACTGGAATTCCTAAACTAATCAACATGGCCAATTAAAAAATTGTTGAAGTTATTTGAATATGGGGTTGCTTCCAGTAAAATTAATGTTAGTATTTATTAAAATAAAATTTTATATATTTATCTATTTTATTATACTACTTTAATCAGTATTATCTATGTGTGTGTGTATATATATATATATATAAATAAATACTACATTTAAATACTACCATTACAGGTTCCTAATTGTAGTATTGAAGGATGACTGACTGAGTTCTGATGTTTTGCCTACAAGACATTTTTTTATATAATCATATACTAAAGTGAGACACATTTTTATAAAAAATATTTGAACCTACAGATATTTTTTACAGAAAAAATAATAAGTGTCTATGAATTTATTTATATGATAGCCTTTTTCTACTTCTCTATCTTTTATACTGTTATTACATTCAATTTACATTAGAATAGCGTAAAATTATTTTCTACAAAATTAATTAAGTTCATCGACATACAGTTGTGTCATAATTAATTTCTTAATTGATCCAAAATTATTTTTAGCTTTCCTAACATCTCGAAATGAAATACCCACGTAATTCAACAATTTGCAACTGATCAATATCACGAAGATACATTGAACTTTGCAATCTATGGTATGTTCATTTTAATCTCTCGAATTTCCTAAAAAATTCTCTCCATCCGCATTAAATTTTTTCTAATGTACAATTTAATTACAGCTACCTATGTCGTATCTATGTCTTAATTACTTCTTTCATGTTACCAGTAGCATTATCCAGAGATGGTCGATAAGCAGCTTATAAAAACTTAAATTACGCAGAACATTGAGAATTATCAACCGAATCTCATTTAACATTTCCAGGTTGGTAACCAAAATTATATACAAACACGATGATTTACTATAAATTCGATTAACACCTCTGTAAAATACTCGATCCCCAGGCTCAAAATGATACGAATTTGCAAACAAATACAGCGTTAAGAAGAACTGATTTTAAAACTAAATATGGCGGTAGGTGAAAAATGAATATTAACTGAGCATCCAGCGTTAAATGAAAAATAATTGCCAGTAAATCTTCCTTAATGGGGACGACGTAATTCAACTGGACTTTCTCTTTCGTTTCAGATCTTCGACGTGAACAACTTTAGTCTGTAACATTCTACAGATAACAATCGAACAAAGAAAGCGAAAAAGAGAGAAGAGAGAGAGAGAGGGAGAGGAGAATTTATGCGGAGGTAGGTTCGAGGTGCGTTCAAGTGGGTGGAAAATCAGGGCCAGTGGGTGGTACAGCCGATAACTCACGCCTGCTGGCAGGAAACTAGGGACGACTCAGCCCTTCAATTTTTTCAGGGAACCAAGCGTGAGAATTAGCTGATAAAGGGGAGGCGATATGGCGCGATTTATGGGCAATTTGTAGAAACAGAAGTTCCTAATTTTCGTCCCACAAGCTGGAAACATCGGATGGAGATTACATGGGGAAGACTTAACCACGTGTCCAGGGGCGATGTTGCGAAAATTATCTTGGGAAAAAGTTGAATATTCAGTGTAGTAAAATGTTTGTAATCACAGAAGATAGATTCCAACAGGATATTCAAAATTTAATTTATACATTATTATATTATACTTCATCAATTAATATTAATCTACTTAGAGGTAGTACTAGGTTAATATTTATACGTAACGAATATGATTTATTTTATTTTATCTTTTATTATATATGGTTAAATCTTTTAGAAGCCAGAGGCCAGGAGCCATGTTTTAGCCACCAGAAGTAATTGATGGACATATCTTTTGCTTTCTCTGGATAGTATTTAATTGATACCTACAATTACTTTTCAATAATTATTAATTTATATATATATATTATAATTAATTTGTATTATTATATCTTTCATTCCTTGTTTAATTATTAATTATAGGCTGGTGAACTAGTTAATTATGAACCCACTAACACAAGAATCAAAAAGCTATGATAGAAATCTAAGAAAGCATGTTGCAATTTGAACACTCCTATAATTGTACATATATATGTGAGTATCTATAACAAAGTTCTACTTGTGAAATAGAATCAGATGGTTAATAATAGCAAAAAATAATCAGTAATAAAGTATACTTAATAATAAGGTATAATAATTGGTAATTGTACTGATAACTGGTAATTGCATATGTTCAAACATAGATGAGTATCTATAATAAAGTTTCATTTATTTGATCTAATAGCTAATAGATAATAATGAAATATAACAATTATTGATATCATACTTTCACTGAATAATTTCCATACTTTTTAGCATCGAATAATGTAAAAATTGATTGTTGTATGGATAATGGGAAGTTTATGTTCCCGCTTACAAGGAGAGTGCAAGTCTTTCGGGTTACCGATTTAGTTGAAACTTTGCAGGTTTATAGATATGCAGTTTAAGAAAATATATCATTATAGCCGCAACTACTCAATAGTTTTTGAGATATTTACGATTAAAGTTTTATTACTTCTTTAATTATAAATTTATTTCCAATAGTTTCCAAGTGGAGTTGTGGCCTAACGATGACAGTCGAGAATTCCTATGTTGGAGGATCAGGGTTTTTCATTCCCGTCCATAGTTGGTAGTTTTTTTTCAATCTACTTTTTATTTTGTATTAATTTTTCGCCTATGAAAACATTGTAAATAAACAGTTGTAAATAAAATTTCTTAGTAAAAAAATTTGGTTTTTACACTTTCTTATGCTAGTATATATTTATTACAAAATAATAAGAATACTATACAAGAAAAACAGTTTTCTGTAGCAATCTTATTTACTACAGAAAGAAAACGAAAATATAAATAATCATTAGATGCAGTAAATACAAAACCTATCGCTCATGTAAGTATTAATTATCAAATTAAATATTGTATAAGAAAGTTGCCTGTAATTCCAACTTTGCTTTGTAGCTTTAAATGTTCATGAATTAATTACAAAAACTTGGAAATTTATTAATTTTCTACTACTGAATTGATTTATTAAGGTGTATTAGGAGCACATAACCAGGAGAGGTATCTATTTTGAATAAAAATTTTACCGCCTACGATCAGCGCCATCTATGATTTTGGACGAAATGGTCGGAAAAGTAATAGGAATATAGAATAGGCAAGGAGGTCGTCGAATAGCTCGTCACGTGGCAGACAAGGACAGAGAATGTATAGAAAAGGATAAAATGGCTCCGGCAGTGAAAAATTATTAATTACTCCATTTCTATAATTAATTTATGAACTTTTATAATTTCATTGAAAAGCTGGAACTTCAGACAACATTCCTATATAATTTTCATACATAATTTGTTACGAATTAGTTAGTTGTTAATTATTGTTCGATGGCGGCCATGATTTCATAACGACGACCATCACGATCTTCCGCGAAAAAATTTAATACTAAACGAAAATAGAAGCAAAATGTGATCAAAAGTTATATGAGAAGATTCGCAAGAACGTTATCTTTCTAATGAGTGCATAAAGTTTCATAAATTAATTGCGTAAAGGATAGTAATTAATGAAAAATCAATGGCGTCTTCGACAACAATTCAAACACTGCGTAGAATAATCATTAATAATTAATTAATTAGGAACAAATTTATATCGAAAAATATATTGGAAAGTTCTTCAAGGATCTGCCTTTACGATGCAATTATAAAAGTTCATAAATTAATCGCAGATTTTGAGTAATTAGTGAATTTTCCACTGCCGATTTGATTTATTAAAATATATGCGGAGCACATAACCAGAGTTAGTAAACTGACATCAGAGCCATCTATGATTTTAGAGTCGAAGCTCGGATTCCGCAACGAGAACATAGATGGCTCTGATGTCAGTTTACTAACTCTGGTTATGTGTTCCGCATATATTTTAATAAATCAAATCGGCAGTGGAAAATTCACTAATTACTCAAAATCTGCGATTAATTTATGAACTTTTATAATTGCATCGTAAAGGCAGATCCTT